AAATAATAAGATGCTTCTCTCTCTATTGTGAATCCACTGCTAGGAAACTAATCATACCAGGGATAGAATTAATCATTGTTTTAGAAGTATTTTATTATTAATACTGTTAAAAAAAAAGAATAAACCCTTCATCAACCTGAAAAAAACACAACTTTTTTATTAATAATTTATTTGAGTTAAATTTTTAATGACGAATCGAATTTAAAGAGCGATGTTGTTCAAGTGCAATTACTGTTTATATAAAAATGTAAACAGTATTTTAGTATTAATAATCGAAATATACATGAATAAATGCTTTTTGAGCGTTAATAAAATATAACCCAGTCTTTAATCGAGAGAAGAAATTAATAATTAATAAAATTTATTGACTGTTGGCATTCAAAGAACTCAATTTTAAATGAATTTTTCAACATGATTTGCGTTTTTCGTAATTAACAGCTAGGTATTGACTCGACATAAGTTCGATCGTAGAATATAATCGGGAGAAGTTACGGGAAAGTTTTTTTTGCTTAATATTAAATATATTCGTAAACTAAATTATATGAAAAAATTTCAGATACGTTTATTCTTTTATACATCTTGATTTTGTATTTTATCAAAAGTATAGTCGTGTTTACAAGTAGTGAATGACTTGTAAGAAATGTTGACAATTTCGATCGTAGAATATAATCGGGAGAAGTTACGGAAAAGTTTTTTTTGCTTAATATTAAATATATTCGTAAACAGATATATATGAAAAAATTTCAGATATATTTATAAGAGTTTAATTTAAATGCGACAAAAATCAAATCTTTCGGGAAAAACGATAGTCACGGATAATCGAGTCTTCACTTTTAAGATTGCAATAACTCGAAAAGTTACAGTCAGAAACGAAAAATTAAAACGCCATTAAATTCGTCAGACGATTCTGCACCAGANGTATAATAATAGGAGAAAGACTTAAATAAATTACTGGAAAATGACGTAATAATACTAGTTTCATTTCTATTATGATATCATTTCTAAAGAATTTATTCAGTCGAATAGTCTTTCATCGATATTAATTTACTAATAATTAAATTTTAAAATGTTGATGAAATGAATGATATTACTTATTAATCACACACACATCTCTTAACTAAATATTTTATAATAATAATAAAGTGTTATTTATTCTATTTAGAAAGTGTTAAAACGAAGAGATATAACCGTGTTTATTTTCTTGATTTAACAAGGATTATCTCAAATTATCATTTTAGTAATTATAACGCTTCAGAGAATTTTCATTTTATATTTTAAAAATTATTATTATGAGAAAAATACTATAATGTTTCGGATTTAATTCCTAAACGTTTTGAAATTCTAACGAGAAGATAAATTAGTAAAATTCAATGTATATAATTCTAAAAATGTTTCACTTACAATCAATAATCATAATAAAGAGAATTGTGATTAAATATTCTCGAGGAGAGGAGGAGGAGGAGGAGGAGGAGGAGGAGGAGGAGGATGGAGGAAAAAAGAATACATTTTGCTTATTAACTTTTTATTCTAGTAAAAATTTAGTTTGAAAAATCCATAATAAAGTTAGATAATTACATTTTTCGCCCACCTTATACTCAATCTGATTATATTTTCTTTCATTTTTTTTTCCTTTATATTTTTATCAAGAAAAGATAACAAATGAAAATCCTTCCTTTCGAATTTATACTCTGTTGGTTTGTAGAATGAATCTTATCTTCTGCTTGGAAGAAATAATCTAGCAAAGGAAATGTCATCTACACGATGAAAAAATCCCCCAAAAGAAGAGAAAATGTGTTTCATCATTTTGTTTTCATATTTTCTTGAAGATTATGTCTCCAAGAAAACTGTTCAAACTAATATCACTCTATAAAAGTTGGTTTTTCTCAAGAAAGATTTATATTTTAGACTATGTTTACAGTAAATTTTAGAATTTTAAGAAAAGAAAAATTCTTTTAAATATATTATATAAAAAGAAAATTTTTAAAATATATTTTCAATCATTTTTATCTTTTAATGATCATAGAACTTTTAAGAAAGATCAGTCTCCATGATATATAACATAGAAACTAACGAGATTATGGTATATATAGATGTAAATTATTGTAATATTAAAGATAAGAATTGTAGAGTTTACAAAATTAAAGGAAAATTGTGAGTTAAGTTGAGAGAAATAGTTGAGAGAAAAGAGTAGATAAGATATTTTTATGTATCTACAGAAGAGAATAAGTTAGGCCAAATCCTATTATTTTCATACCAGAATTGCTCATCTTATTATTACAGTTCCCAGTAGAAACAGATGCCCATAAATTGATGTCATTTGTTTTTTCCTTGAAAACAATCGATAAGACAGACAACTTCTTCATATAACTTTTATAATAACTAAAATTTAACCATTCCTTTTGTTTCTTTCTTTATATATATATATTGTTGGAATTCTTACATTTAATGTTATTTTCTAACATACAGTTAAAAATAACGCATAATCTATAAGAAAAATAGAACAGAAAAGAGTGAAAAGAGGGGGGAAAAAACCTTTCAAATTCAGACATTTCTTTTCTGAAACTAAACTAAATCGAAACTGGTAACTTCCTTCACACAATTCAAGAAACAATAACTAAAGAAGCGTTTGTTTGTCAGACACAATCGAAGTTTCGTTGGTGGGTTTTTTTCTTCTTCTTTTTTTTTATTCTCAGCGTGTCATTTTTTGGCTGTGAGGGGTGGATTTACGAAAACGACAACAAAACCATCGTTATTATTTCCGGTCGCTCTATCAAACGCCGACGTAACGTTCTATCTTGTGTCTTTCCCCTCCTTCGTCCCCCTCTGTGATTTATGACGGTCCAATGTCTAGGTCGTCGTCGACTGGGGATCTCTCTGTGTGTGCTTCGTCGTTCTATGTAAATTGAATGTGGTCGAGATAACTGGACTCCCCATTTACTCCCTCCCTTAAATCGGAAGTTGGTTTTTCTAACGGAACCGGACTTCCATCATCTATTTCTATCCTCTTTTCGAATGAAACACGATTTTTTATATATATATATATATATATGTTGTTGATTACACGTGGATCATTGTTTGTTAGGAAAACATTCTTCGGTTTATTATAAATTTAATTGCCGAATGATAAAAGGAATATGTTAAATTAATATTGAAATTTATTCAAATAATTAATAATTAATTAAAATTAACTTTTGAACTTATTTATTTTATGTAAATCTAGTCGCGAGTTTAACTTTGATGTCTATCCGATGCTTACAAGTAATAAAGGATGCGATGTAAGCCCCATGTCGGGAAGAAGCTTTGAGAAAATAAAGAGAAGCTGCCGTATATAAATTAGAATTTAGGAGGTTAAAAACTATTTATGAGGCTCATTTGGTAATAAAACATTTAATTTTTTTTTCCTTCTCTTCAACCTAATATATAAGCATTTTGATATAGAGACCCGGGAGAAGTTCTTCTAAAAGCGTCCTACGAGTGCCATTCCATGCGTGCCGTTTTTCCGACGTTATATAGAAGTAGGAAGCTGAGAGAAAAGAGCCTTTTGTTATGTTGAATCGGAAGGCAGCGAGGAAGAAATGGAAGCACAGCCCTGGGACTTGACCTTTCATATCTTTTCTATTCTTCGGTCAGGATATTGACTTCGATCTTTTTCACCCCTTTCTTGCCCCTACTCTTTTGATTTTCTTCTAAAAGATTTGTCAGTATCTAGTTTCCGGAGTAAATTGATACCTAACAAAATCTNGATGATGTCGATTGGCTAACTTCAGACATTCAGCTTTGGTAATTTGAAGGGTCCGTTTCAAACGTTTGGAGATCATGTACAGGCTGGAGGATCGGTGGTAGTTCTTTTGGCATTCGCATCATCGTCATCGTCGATAGTGCAATATATATTCTCAGCTTCTGGCGTTTTATTGACTGGATGAAAAGTAGAAAATTGAGGAGTCGACCTTTCGCGATTTTTAGTTTCTGACTGCGGTACTCCCATCATAACGGGTTTTTCTCTAGGCCAATTTTCTGGATCGTAAGCATCTTGGTAAGCTCCATACCATAACGAAGTAGGACTCTGAAAGGGAGACTTTTCTTCGTTCGTCGCTAACTCCCTATAAGAACTATCGGAACCTTTTCTTCTTGTACTTTTCTGTCCCAATATAAGATCTTCACCCGCTTGACTATCTTCGCTTCGATCTTGATAATCCTGAGCCGAAACAGAACTATCTTGAACTTTGAATAGTCCTCTTCGTTCTTCTTCTTCGCTGCTTACTCCCTCTCCATCGCTCGATCCTACGTCTTTGCAAAGATCACCACCAGTAGAACCTCTGACACTACTAGTACCGGAACACGGCCTGCTACCTTCTTCTCTAGCCAAACTCAATTCATCTTCAGCAAAATCATCTTCGCTATCCGTAGTCCTTCTTTCGACTTCACTATCTTCCATGTCGGAATTGTAGCTATGCGTATCTGCTCGTTCGTCCGAACCACCAGAAACTTCCTCGTATATTGGATTAAAGTGATCCTTCGTTTTCTTGTTTCGACCGCACGTCACTTCTTGTAAAGGATACGGAAAATCACCTTGTCTGAGAGGTGTCATTTGAGAATTGTAGCTATCGTACTTCAAATCGAATAGCTGAAAACATATATATATATATATATATATATACATTTTTCCTTTAATATTACATTGGGAATGTATATTGAGGGAAAAACAAACATTCATTCTTGCTTCATGTGACACATTTTTGCAGTTTTCATTTTTTCGGAAGCTGTGAAGACATTCCAGAGTTATTTACAGCACAAACACAAGTTCATAGTCTTTATAGCATAACCACAAGGCACATTTAAGAATCATAATCCGCCATCTTCAAACTGGGTTTTCTCTATGTAATTATAAATAATAATAATATTAATTTATATAATATAATATCAAACCTGTAGAATAAGAGATTCAGTAATGGTTAAATCTAACTTTAGAAAATGGATTTAGAAATTTAAAAAAAAATTACCTAAACACTTCCTTTTTTAAAATATTATGTGTTGATATTTCTATGGATACTGTGGCGTATCACTTGCCTATAAAAGAAAAAGAAAAAGAAATTAAGTATTTTTTTTCTTTCTAAAATTCCCTACGACATGAAATGTCACTCACCAGCTCGTGTCGGCTCTGAAATCTTCAACACACGGATTAATAGGGAAGAGTTACCGACCCAGCCTGGAATATGCGGACCGGATGATGTCGATTGGCTAACTTCAGACATTCAGCTTTGGTAATTTGAAGGGTCCGTTTCAAACGTTTGGAGATCATGTACAGGCTGGAGGATCGGTGGTAGTTCTTTTGGCATTCGCATCATCGTCATCGTCGATAGTGCAATATATATTCTCAGCTTCTGGCGTTTTATTGACTGGATGAAAAGTAGAAAATTGAGGAGTCGACCTTTCGCGATTTTTAGTTTCTGACTGCGGTACTCCCATCATAACGGGTTTTTCTCTAGGCCAATTTTCTGGATCGTAAGCATCTTGGTAAGCTCCATACCATAACGAAGTAGGACTCTGAAAGGGAGACTTTTCTTCGTTCGTCGCTAACTCCCTATAAGAACTATCGGAACCTTTCCTTCTTGTACTTTTCTGTCCCAATATAAGATCTTCACCCGCTTGACTATCTTCGCTTCGATCTTGATAATCCTGAGCCGAAACAGAACTATCTTGAACTTTGAATAGTCCTCTTCGTTCTTCTTCTTCGCTGCTTACTCCCTCTCCATCGCTCGATCCTACGTCTTTGCAAAGATCACCACCAGTAGAACCTCTGACACTACTAGTACCGGAACACGGCCTGCTACCTTCTTCTCTAGCCAAACTCAATTCATCTTCAGCAAAATCATCTTCGCTATCCGTAGTCCTTCTTTCGACTTCACTATCTTCCATGTCGGAATTGTAGCTATGCGTATCTGCTCGTTCGTCCGAACCACCAGAAACTTCCTCGTATATTGGATTAAAGTGATCCTTCGTTTTCTTGTTTCGACCGCACGTCACTTCTTGTAAAGGATACGGAAAATCACCTTGTCTGAGAGGTGTCATTTGAGAATTGTAGCTATCGTACTTCAAATCGAATAGCTGAAAACATATATATATATATATATATTTACATACATAAGACAATTGTAATTGATAATAACTAATTTATATTCAAATTAAATCAATAAATGTATTCAGAAAAAAGTTTTAAACAATTCTCATAGATGGCAGCATCTAACGAGAAACCCACTTTTTTCTTTTTAATAATAGAAAAATTGTATTATAATATTATACAAAAAATTATTTAAAATTAATAAATTCTCACTCCATATTTTATAATTTTATATAGAAATATAGATACATCATTTTCTATATTTAAAAAAAAAGAAAAAAAAAAAAACGTTGCGAAAGTAGTCATTTCTTAACAGTAGTCGGTCGTAGATGCTAAAGAGAAGATAGTTTTTTTTTCATAAAATTTTATCCGCAAAACTTTATACACGTATATTCTATAAGAGACGAAACTACATTTATGACTAAAGTCGGTTTCTTTACCGATAGTGGATTAAACTGGACTAAAAACACCGATAAACTTTTATGAGGATCGTCTTTCGACCGAAGAGATTAACTGGCAGAACAGCCTATGAACAAACAAGTTTAGCTTGGTTTTATTTTATTTTTATTTTTTCGCTGGTCGTCATCGGACCGTGCATCATTCTGTTGGATTCTTCTATCCAATAAAACCATTTTTATTTAAAGAAAAATATTTCTGATTTCTCAAATGCAACAGTAATTTGAGCAACACCCGTTTTAACCCATTGAAACAAATCTGATACATATATAAAAACAAAACAAAACGGATGGTGTGTGTGTGTGTGTTTTTTTGTGTGTTTCTATACCACGTTTCTTAAAAATATTTAAAATGTCATTAAACTTATATATGTATATATCTTTTGTAATAGGAAAGAATTCAAACTTATTTCTCACTTTCTGCACGAAATTTTAACATATATGAACAAAATGGTAATTTAAGCGACTGGGTGGAATTTAATAGTTAAAAAAAGAAAAGAAAATTGCGCGTTATATACAGTCTTATGGACATTTTTAATGCAAATAAATTAAACATGTAGTTATATTTCTAAGAATATCCGATGCGTGCAGCGAGAAACGTTGTTTCTGAAAATCAACTATAACAACACGCGATTTGAAACACTCCCTCCCCCCTTCGTATTGGTTATCCACGCATGCTCCGATTAATAATCTCCCTTAATTGCCATCAATAGGAACACCATGATAGAGCGGGACCTACTTATTTCTGACAGTGGACTATACCAGCCACGTGTATGCCTATCTTCTGCGTGATGGCACGCGAAGTTCACGTGCCTATCCAATTAGAAGGTGAGTGTACACATTTATGACGTTGCGTGAGACGTCATATAAGGTAGGAAGGGAAGAAAATCACAATGCGTGACATTTACCTGTTCTGTAAATGTCACTAGCACGACCTAAAAATGTCGTTGGGTAGTTTTACAATCTGTTCTCTAAGAGGTGGTTAACTGGACAAGCTCGATAAACCGCAAAATTTAGTTGAGTGTACAGATAAGAGATGGCAGCACGTTGTTCTAACAGTTAGTGTATTGTATCAATAGCGTAATGACGACCTCTTACGACGAGTTCAAAACGCTATAAATAAATAAATAAATAAATAATTATAATGCAAACGAATATTATTCCGATTTAATGACCGAGGAATATAAAAAAAAAGGTAGAAAGAGAAGTGATTTATCAACGTAAGACATAAAATTATCATCACGATTTAAACTGGTACGTGATTGGCCAGAAAAGCTGAGCAATTAGTTAATGTGTAAATTAGTTAATGTCAGGAAAGTAAATTAGTAACGTGTGTGATTTATGATGAAGCAACTTAAAACTTCTGCTTGTTGTTGTTGTTGTTAACATGGAGTTTGCTCCGAGGGGGTTTAACTCGTTACAACTAGAAGAATTACTTTCCGATATTGATGTACGATTTGGATTCTTGTTTAACTCGTAACGAAACAGAATCGATATAGTCTCTACAAGAAAATAAATACTTAGAAGTACAATAAATTTAGAAACATCCGGGTTAAGGTCAGAGAATGAAGGGCGAGTCGAGATGATGTCATTAGATAAACAGTTAAAGAGTGTTGTTAAATAAAAAGGATATTAATTTTTGTTATATTATTTAAAAAAATTATTTTAAATAAAAGAAATAAGAAATCCAAGCTTTGTTTTCTTACCTCGAATGGAGTTGCTGATTGCATTTCTGGTCCTCCGTGAGGTGGTAAACGGGTAGGATGATGATGTATAAGGACATCATCATACGTGACCCCATTCGACCCCGAGAGGTCACAACGGTCTTTCGGCTTGTGATTACATGGCAAGAAGTTCTGGACTTTCTTCTTATGCCTACGAATAGACAAACACTTCAGTGACAGCCTGGTATTAATAAAATGTTCACTTGTGATTTAGTGAATAAATCTAAATTAGCAAGGTTAAAAAGAATCTTTTTTACATGTTCCGAAACCTGTAAATTGCTGTAACGTTATATTAACATTAGAATAATTATCATTGACGTAACAAAAAAATCCAAGAGGGAGAGAGAGAGAGAGAGAGAGATCGATTTTCTTGATAAAAATATATTTTTCCTTTGTTTACGAATGTACTGTACTGTACAAATATATGAGTTGTAGATAGATTTATAAAGCAAGATTTAATATATATAACAGTTAAAAGGATATGTTTATAGTTATATTTCACAACTGTTAAGTGAGTAATTTGTTTTGAACTCTTCCCAAATAAGAATGAGATCTGTGAGAAAAATTTCTAACAAAAGGAAAGAGTATGTCAAACGAGACACCAAACTCTTACAATACTATCACAATCCTTTCCCTGATTTGTGCTTATTGTCCAGCGATGATTCTCAGAAAACCAGTTCTTTATTCGCACTTTGAAAGGTGCCTTCTCGTTTCACTTATCTCCGAACGAAACGTGAAGAAGTTTGAATTTTATACAAAAAAGAACGTTATAAACTTGTTTAGAATCCTTTATATAACAATAAATAAATAAAAGTACGAAAATATTATATAAAAATCTCCTTTAGTTACTTCGTTTTCCACCAGATGACATGACATGTTCTCGTTTTGTGCCATTTTTCGGGAGGTGGATTACACATTATATATTCTTCCCTAGCAACTGCAGATATTCGCTCGTTATCTTATGTTAAAACCGCGCATTCCACTAAAGGTTAAAAGAGCAAAAGTCACGAATAAGTCCCACATTTCGCCTCGTTTACGAGTTTTCACACCCCCCAAAGAATCCGACATTTACACACACATTAGCAAAGATTAATACTCTACAGACGTTATAAGCACGAGTCGACAAATCTTCTAAGTGCGGCTCGTCTCTTTAGTCTCTCGTACATCTAATACATAACGAGAAAGAATATAATTTAAGAAGTAACCAGGGTCATCAGGCCATAATAAAGAAGAAATACTCTTGAATGTTACGATGTTGTATTACGTGTTCGAACAGACCTGCCAGAAATTACTCGTATATTAAACTAAACGTCTTCATCCTTTACAGGAAAAAAAAAACAAAAGTTGCACACCTAATAAATAAATAAATAAATTCTCTTTTATCTTTTCCAAAGGGTTAAAAGGTTAAAATATATATAAAATAATTCGAGAAGGAAATTATTTTCGTGTTGACAAAAGAAAAAAAAAGGATCATAGAAACAGAAAGAACTGTAAATAAAAACATTTCACACTGTTATAGAAGAAGAATCAGTAAAGATATTTTCACATAATCGAAGACAAAATGTCAAAAAAAGAAGAAAAGATTTCGATAGCAAACAATACAGATAAAGGAAATTGACGAAAGTTTTAAAAAAAGATATATATTTTACTAAAGAAAATAAAGAAAAAAAAAAGGATTTAAATCCAATGAACCATTTCACCAGCAAAAATTCCATTTCTGATATCCGAATGCACTTGCCCATCAATAACGGATTTTCGAGAAATAAACGTACAAACAGGCTACAAGCAATTTCGATTTCGACTCTATGAAACGTTTGTAAGAAAAGAAACATATAGATTTTATATAAACCATATCAAACAAAATCTTTAAAAAGATAATTCCAACACATTTTAATAATTAAAAGTTCAGTTTGGATAACGCTATCAAATTAGATTTACCGAAAAATCTATCAAATTATCAAAGTATAAAATAGAATTTTATTGAAAACTTTGTGTAATAAATATTTGTTATAATAATAATAACATAATAAATAATTCATTTGGTTTTAGAAAATTAAATGAAACGCTTCAGAAAAGTTCGTTGAAAAGACGATCCCCTTAGTGACTTGTGGGAAACGTTTGCTTAATGTTGTTTATACCCGAGGGGGGTTTTACTTTGTAATTCTGGGTGAATGACATAATAGCATTTTATTGGTTCATCCATTAAGCATACAACTTCTGATATTTAAACTCCAACTGTGGTTTACTTTTATATTGTTACTTACCATCGCTGACTTGATTTAATAATGTGAATTATTATTTAAAATGAAATTAATATAATTCTATGAGATTTAGGAATATTCTTCTTTTGGAGGAGTAAAATATACTGTTAATGCATTGAATATACTTAAATATTGCTTTAAAATATGAAAATTAGTCCAAAACATAACGAAAATTGCAAGAGAGATGATTACAAGTTTCTTTATCTATATTAAAGCATTCCTATTTAACTCTGACACACGCAGGTTAATAACTATCAAGATGTAATCCTTACAATACGAATTACTGTTGTTAGAATAAATTATACTCCTGTTAAAAATAAGAAATTTTGAGAAAAATATAAAAAGAAAAAGCTTAATTTAATGATGTCGTTGGAAGAGGAAAAATAAAGATAGCCTGTAAAAATAAATCAAACGGTAAAGAGGAAGTGGAGAAATGATTGTAATAATAAGTTTATAAATAGAGAAAACATTTTGTAATGGAAAGTCTTGATTAAATTGTCACAAACTGAATGATCCGATTCTAAGAGAAAGCGGTACGTAGATGAAGTGCGTGATTAGATTTGTTTGAACAATGTCTAGCAACATGTAAGTTATAACTTAATCAGTCAACTGTATATAGTGCTTCTCTTGAATAAACAAAATATCCTTTCGATGATAAACACGTATAGTTTAGCTACAATATGTTAATCTCTTTAGAATCGCGCCATGTTTGTCCTTGGAATGTCTGCCTAGTCAAACGAGTTGAGTGGCTTGTTCTATTCAAGTACAGAAACTTTATATAAGGTCCTATTTTATTCTTGTATTGCTACACATTACCGTATACACTATATATACGTGTATGTGTATGTACTGTACTTTCCATCACAATATATTTCTTTATTTTTAAAATATTAAATTTCCTCTTCTTAATTCTTAAAAATAATTTAAGAGAAGTAAAAAAAAAAAAAATAATTATATTAAAGTAAAATTATGTAGAAACTTTCGAAGGAATTTTTTTAAATTTTATATAAACTTTTCCTTTAAAGCATTATCATAATTTTTAAATTTAATTTTTAGAAAAATCGTTTTAATGATGAATTAAAAACATTAGTCTAAATTTACTTTTTTTATTATACACACGACGAGTTAATTATGGTTAATGATGAAATGATCAACTTAAAGTTATACGTATTTTTTAATTAATAATGATGAAAACTTCACTTTCGAAGTATAATTTTTGTCTTCTTCTTCCTCTAAATTATGTATAAAGCCAACAAAAAAAATGTGGCACGTACGACATTAAATTACTTGTTTTTTTTCTATATAAAAAAGAAAAAAAAAGCAATAATTAACGAGACTCAATTGAAAGGATCAAACTGATAACATTATTTTGAGAAAAATGAATTCTGACAACCTCCTGGACATCTTTCAAAGCAATAAAACAAGTAGAAAGAAAGAGACTCGGGGGAAGAACAATTTCGTATTCAAGAATTTTGCTTTCCCTCGACAGTGTTCGATTTTATTTTTTTTTTTATTTTTATTCTCTAAAATACAAGTATAGAACGAACGATGAATATGTTAATGTGATAGAAACCAAGTAGACAGTGGGTGTGTTTTTTTTTATGTTGAGTTATATTGCTTTTGTCGATATCTTGTTATGCTTATGGTCGCGCCTCACTAACAACAACTATTTTGCTGTTTTCTGTCACATCGAATGCGATTTACTTTGTTAACATAAACAAAAAAATAAATAAAAATAACATATCAAATGATGTGAATTTTGATAGAATTATTAATAATGCCAAATTTCCATTCTGTAGTAGGTCTACTATTTTCTCTTTAATCATTCATCTAGTTATCAATCAACATGTCACCCAATTAGTCTACTGTTCAGAAACATGTATTGTAACCACACAGGAAATGCTAGTTTAGGCCTCTTGAAAAATTTTCACAAATTGTCAAGTAGAAAAAACCCGAATTGTATTTGAGATAGAATACGAGTGGGTCTTTTATAAAAGAACAACAATGAAGTTATCGGCTGAAAGTGTATATATTAAGTAGGAGCGAGTCTATACAGAATACAACTCCTCTACGATATAAAGTCTTTATTGACTGCGCTGACAAAGTATTGTGAGTAGGAACAAGCGACTTTCTGTTACACTCCATAACTTACCAGTTGGCCAATCTTTTGTATACGAGAGGAAAGTTGCCTCAGTCGTCTGACTATTGTGGTTCGAGTTTAGAGTGACGTTATTAAGGGCTCAATGAGCCGTACCGTGTTAAGGGGAGCGGATACAAAGCCACTAGACGAACCATTGACTGGACGATGCCTTTCCATCAATCACAAAAACCTTCAACGCCGTTTTTGTTCTCTCGTAACTCACCTGCCGTTGATTCTTTATGTTTTCCTCCATTTCTATTCCTTAGTAAAATGTTTTCGTGTAAATAATTAGAAATTTATCTTTAAGATTAATTATATTATATGATTGATAATCGAATTATTTTTATATATAATTAAATTTTGTTAATATATTCATTAACTAATGACTATTTTTAAAATTATTCCTTATAGCATCTCAATTATTATATTAATTATTTAAAAATAAAATTTATGTTATTTCACATTTTAAATAACGAAAGAAAGAAATTTTAACGTAGGCCTACGTAATAACAAAAACGGAAATATTTTTTTCGTAAATTAATTTTAATTTATTAATATTTGCAATTAAAAAACAAACAAATGTAATCGTTAGCAATTTATATAAATTTTATATATTATATTTTAAATTTATTATAAAGAAAACAAATCAGTTAGCAGGTATTGTCGATACAGTTTAATCATTAATCTCTACATTTTGTGAATTAATTTGTCGAGTTGCAAATTCTTTCTGCCATTGGTAGTATAAAAAAG